TTATAAGAGTGGATACCTTTCTGAAACATTTAGAACCACAAAGTGACTCATTGGACAATGCTAGTATTATAGACTAATACGAGTAGCTTTATCAAGAAGGAAAACACACTCCACTGACAGCCTCTTCCTGAAACGTCCTGACAGATTCTTACTGTGAAAACTTTGCCTGCACAAGGCACTCTCTTGAGAATTAAAGTCTAGAAATGTTCAGTCAATTAATACATTTCTTTGAGCATTCCTTTAGAAAGTATCTGAGAGAGAATTCAGTTTATAATTTCTTATCTGTACACATAGGTCTACAGAGTACAAAAATCCTTGAAAAACCTTTAAAAAAACTAAATTCTAACTAACCTGTCTGGTAAACTAATAATATAATTATGCTTAAAGACAAAAATTATCCATAGATATTTGTTTTAAGAGGGGGTCGACTTTGCTGGAAATCGTCTGAGTTTTGGATCAGCTATAATCTTTTATAGCAGTGGTCACCAACCAGTAGATCGGGGTCTACCTGTAGATCTTGGAGCCTCTGCTAAGTGATCCTGTCTGGTTTGGCCAGGAAGCTACCTGCTAAGTGATCCTGTGTGGTTTGGCCAGGAAGCTATCAAGTACTGGCACTTCTGTCGCCCTTTCACTGTCATGCTGCTCTGGCCCTCTGCCTTGGAGCTGCCCCCCTTGGGAGCCTCCTGCTTGCTGTGCAGGGTGTGGGAGGGAGAAGAGGGGGGTGCTGATGTCAGGGTGTCCCTCTCTCCCTGCACTTCTGTGCCCTATCTCCACACAGAGAGAAGGGGATGGAGGGAGCTTGGCAATGCAAATCTCTGTCACTCACACTATGTGTATGTCTGTCATTCTTACAAACACACACTCTCATCCCCCGACCCAACATACGTGGGGAATTGTTACTTCTTTTACTGCTTGCAAAGTGAGTTAGTTTTGGTTTTTGACTGTCCTGTCCTGAATCTCCTACACCCAACTTTCTGCCCCTGATGTGAGTCCCCCTGTTCAAATTCCTTCCCAAATCTTGCACCCTGAAACCCCTCCTGGATGCCAATCTCCCACCCTGGGATAAGCCTGGAGCCCCTCCTACACTCCAAACTCCTTGGCTTAAGACCAGAGCCTGCACTCCAACCCCCTACCCCACCTGGTGAAAATGAGAGGAGGGGAAGGAAGGGGGATGGAATGAGCAGGGTGAGGTTTTGGAGAAGGGGTGGAGCAGAGGCAGGGCCTTAAAGAAGGAAGAGGAAGGAAGTGGGGCAAGAGTATTAGAGTTTGAGATAGATCTTACGTTGCACTTAAATTGAAAAAGTTGTCTTGTGGTTAAAAAGGTTGGAGACCGCTGTTTTATAGGAAACCTAACAGTGATAGTCCAATCAGCATTTTTTAAGCCTTATTTACAAAGGGCTTAGCATTTAGCCAGGGAGGGGAATATCAGTCACAGGCTGAAACTTGGCATTTAAATTTTCAGCTGATTTTTCTTTTCTAGTCTTTACTGTACTCGTCACATCTCTGGACTGCCTTCCATAGTTCATTGAGCAATATAGTATACAACTGTCACATTTGATCTCTCCTCCTATCCCCAGACAGAGAAGTGTTTCTTCTTTGGGTAGGGCTTTTTGTACTGTTTTGTACTTGTTGGGAGGGGAGGGGTGTTGTTTACATCTTCTATTAAATATAGCTGTTATGTGTATTTTATTAGAAAAGACATGTTCAAAACATGAGTCTTACATGTGGAGTGGAAACTAGTGAGGTTTGTAATGATCTTTACTTCCTCTAGGAGTTTTGTTCCTTGATTTTGGTCAAATCAAAACATGAGTCTTACATGTAGAGTGGAAACTAGTGAGGCTTGTAATGATCTTTACTTCCTCCAGGAGTTTTGTTCCTTGATTTTGGTCAAGTCTTACAGAAAGTTGTGTCTTCTGCGCAGACAAGATTTATTTTTACTACTGAGTTCCACTTTGTCAGATGTGACAAACTGTCCACCACAGTCTCTGTTGTGCAGCTTTAATTTTTTTGGTGTCCTGATCTTGGAGTGCTTTCAAAATAAACACTGAGGCCTTGAATTTGATTCAAAATTCTATGGAAAGAACATAGGTCTTTCTATGGAAAGAACAGAGGTGACTTGCTCACAGCCTGAATGGTTGAGGGAATATGAGAGCATTTTGGAGTGGAGTGATAGTTTGCGTTGCCAGTTTCATGCCGAAGTATATTTGCATTGCTGCTGTCCAGCTACAAGGTGATGAAGGCAGGAATATTTATTTACCTACCTAGTGAGTGGTTTGTCTATTTGTTGTGGATGCAATAGTTTGATGAGGGAATGTCCATTTTCAGGTCCTACAAAAGATTTTCTTGCAAGACTTTAAACTAACAAATGCTCAGAAGTTACTTTTAAAATTGGCTATTTAGTCAACACCATCAACGAGATACATTAAGTAGTTCAAGAAATATAAGTGGGCAAGACATTGGAGATGAAAAATATTTTAATGGACATGTGGTAATTTTATTAGAGATACTCATCATAACTCCACAATTAGAGTTGAGTTTTGCACTTAAAATAGATATTCATTCTCCTATGTGTTAAATACAATGTATATTCTCCCCCCAATGCAGTACTTAATACAGAATTTTCTGAGAATATAAAAATCTATTGTTACAGAGTTTGTTCCTAAATCTAATAATAAATGTAGGATGCGAAATCCCATTTAATTAGTTAACTGGTTAAAATTATATTTAACTGGTTAACTGATTAAAAAGAAAACACGGGGTGCTCTAACCCCGTGGGTCTGGAGTGGCCCCGGTGCCACAGGCAGGGGCTACTCCAGACTGGCCCAAGCAGACCCTGTCCAAGGTGGGCCCCCTATTAAAGGTGATGTATACTAGTTAACCTTTCACATCCCCAATAAGGATCTTATATATGCCACACAAATTAAAAGGCCAAATCCTGCAATTTACTCAGGAAATTAGTCCTTATTCAAGAACTTAGATTAAATGTATATAAGGGCTGAAGATATTCTTCTGCCCGGAGGCCCTTCCTTCTTCTACTAAGATAAACAGGAGAAGTTTCTGCTCTCCCTGTTTCCAAACACAAGAACAAGGGGATACTCAATGAAATTGAGAAGTGGCAAAGTCAATACTGATACTTTTTCAAAGCATAACTCAACTGTGGAACTCACAGAAATCATTGAGAACAATAATTTCACAATAGTCAGAGAGATTGGACATTTATATAGATAAGAATATCCTGAGTATTGCCAGTTAATGCTAAAAATATTATTCAAAGGGATAGAAAACATCATGTTTCAGGGCTCATCTCCACCTGTTAAGGATCATCCCACATTGATTCTCTGTGTGATTTCTTGCACCTTCCTGGAAATTGACAGGATGCTGGACTAGATGCACTATAAGTCTGATCCAATATGGTGATTTCTAAGTTCCAATGAAAAATTGTGTTGTTTATTAACAGAAACTACACTGATTAAAGGAGCCATTGTTAAATATGCATTCCTTCACAAAATGTGTATGTTTATAATTAAGTCCTACTGCCTTGAGTAAACAAAGCATATATTAATTATAGCTTTCAATTTCTTTTTTTTACAGAAATATTAAACTTCTTGATAAGTCACAACGTAGCTTTCCTTTATATAAGCATACAGACTGGTGTAGTTAATTTCTTCCTCTTTTTAAAAGAAAATACATTACTTAAATATATTTTATCTAAATCTGAAAAGGGAGGAAAAAGCTGTACTGTTTATATAAAACCCTCAATCATTTCACACACTTATTTTAAAAAACACAAAGATCATTCTCTTCTAAACAGCAAATTAATTTTGGGATTAATCCTCTCCATGCATAATTTGTGCCCAAAATGAACCTAGGCCCTTCCAGGCTTGCCAGTTCAAAGCCTTGGCACTGGCCTTACGAAAACACTGAATCATCCTAATAGCATCTTTTCCTAAATTGAAATGTAAACAATAGGATACTGTAACACATTTGCAAAGAACAGAAAAGTCAAAAGTTTAAGGTTGACAACTCTGAACACTTTGTCATATGTTCCCACTAGTTCATACAAGAATCCAGGGTTCCTTCCAATGACTGAGTACAGTTTGTTTTCTGTTGAAAGTAGATCGAGTCTTCTGTTGCTTTGGCAATTTCAAACTAGCTTAACCAATAAAACCTTGAGAGTTATAAATCATTCTCTGATTTGTCATCAGTTACTGACACCACTAATGCTTTTTTGTAACGATGACGAAAACAGTTTAAATCTTTTTTTAAGACGTAAATGTAAGATTTACTTTAAGTATTAAATCGCAGAATGCTATCGCAGGTACATCAAGCTGCTCCCAAGAAGAGTGCTTGTTAGGACACCTCTTCCCACGTGGAGGCACCATAATGACAATCAACTTCAACTTTCTAGCTCGACACGCCTTAGTTGAAGAAAAATTCTTGGTACATATGTTGCAGACTGTTCAGCAAGCAGAGCATTTTAACGGAGGCTTGTTCTCGTCTTTCCGCAACTGTTATGCAGCAGCGCGACCACTAAAAAGGGCTGTAAAATGATCCCAAGAATCAATACTAATTGCATTGGCTTCTGCCTCTTCCTCCTCGCCCCAAAAGCCTCATCGGGGAGGTTTAAGAACTCGCTCACTTCCTACTTCTCCTCGGCCACTAGCAAAGGCGCTCTGAAAGTGACAGCCCGAGCCCCACCTCCGATAGGAAAAAAAAGGAAGCCCCTGAGCCTAGACTAGAGACAGAACCTGGCGACCTGCCAACCAGAAGAGCCACCCTACCCCTCTCCTGAGCGCATCGTAAAGGACCCTCCTCCCCCCCCCACCGGACTAATAAAAAAGGAGCAAGAAAAACAACGTCCACGTGTCAGTGGCAAAGCCCAGCTCCGTGTCTAGCACCGAGCGTAAGCTGCGATCTTGCAGCGTAGGGCCCGTGCAGCCGAGTGCAAGGCGGCGGCCGCTCCTGTGCAGGAGGAGCGCGGGGACGGGCCGCTCCCTCACCTGGTTTGGCTGGTTTAGGTGGCGGCTTGGACATCGCGGCGGCCGGGCTCAGCCCCTTGCTCCGCCTCCCCGCAAACTGCTCGTGGCCGGTCACCCCTCCTGCCCGGTAAGCCGCCCCCCTCGGCAGCGGGCGCGGGGCACCCAGCAGCGAGCCCCGGGAAATGCGCGGACTGCGGGCGCGGTGAGGAAGTCAGAGGCGCTGCTCCCTCTAGGGGCGGCTCCGGGAGCGGGCGGCCAGACTGGCTGCGGGGCTGGAGCCGCCAGCGCCAGGCAGCCAATCCTCGAGCGCGCTGCGCCAGCTCGGCGCCGCAGCCGGCCAATCCCGCCCACCGGAGAGAGCCGTCGGTGCAAGCTGCAGCTTGTCTCGGCGCTGGGGGGCCAGAGCGCTCGTGCTCGGGAGCCGGGGGAGCCGCTGGGCGCTGGCCCGCCGCTTTGTCCACCCGCCGGCGAAGCAGGGCTCAGTGGGGCGGCGGGTGACCTGGCTCGGTAGTTCACTCGCGCGTAGCTCTGTGCTGCATAGCCTCGGTATTTTGCATTGCAGGCCAGCGCGCTGGGGAGGCGGCGGCAGAGGCCTCGACGGCTCAGGTAACATAAGGGGTGTGAGTGGCACCGCTGACATCGCGTGAAAGCCGAGCCACGGTTGCAGCAGCAGCGCCGTTCACATAGTTCCAATTCACTTGCTATGGGTGCGGGGGAGTCTACCTTCATGCTCCAGGCTTACTTATCAGCTGTCGTGTGACCTAAGCCCTCCCATTTCAAAATCAGTGTTTCTATGCCCTTGTTAATTATACTCTTCCAAGTCATCCTAGGTCTACCCCTCTTTCTTGTTGGCATACTTGTGCAGAATATCCTTAAGCTAGGTGTATAGTTACTTGATCACACACTGGCTAGTGACTACCCCTTCAGGTAGGCACTGCTGCCAAGTTAGAAGCTGAAGTTCAATTCTCTCCCAACCTTATTTATGTGTGTGTGTTCTTACATGTGTGATTTGTAACTGTGTCACTTCTAGGGTACATTTAATCCTTTGCTCAAATACTCTAAATATGCCAACTTGTTTGAAGTGGCATGGTTAACAATTGCAACTGCAAAATTAAGGTACAAATTACAGTAAAACCTGTGTTGTCCACCATGCTCAGGGATTAAAGCATTCAGGTAATCTAAAAATTCCAATTATCTGAGGGTCCCGTTAATTTAGGAAAAACCAATGGACAATAATAGTAAAACTCAGGTTTTTAATATTGGTAGTTTTGTAGTGTGAGGCAGTTGGTCTCACATTTCAATTTTGAGATAAAGATGATAAATAAAAAATTGAGCCAAACATGGTAAACCAAGTCAGGCCTGTGTGCATGAAGATGTGACGGTATTGTGGCTGAGGGCAATGCCAGTTAACAAAGTTTTCTGGTTAACAGTGCTGGATAACGAAGGTTTCACTGTATGTACATCTGTGCTGGCAGGAGAGGTGTCTTAATGTTTGGCATTGTAGGCCACTCATATTGAGTTTACACATCTTGTTTAGCTTGATGATAGCCTCATCATCTACAATAAGATGGCATCTTTTTAATTTTTTCTGGTCCAACTTCTGTTGGCAAAAGTTGTATTTCACACTGAGCTCTATCTCAAATTAGTCTCTTTCACCAACAAAAGTTGGTCCAATAAAAGATACTACCTCACCAGCACTGTCTCTCTGATATCCTTGTGATCAGCATGGCTAAGATTACACTGCAAACAACATATTTTTAACTGCCATTTTTTACTACCTACTCTTTTCCACTTTCCACAGGAGCACAAATAAAGTTGACTGTTTTATTTCCCTTTGTGATTATATTTGATACAGACAAGGATATAAATTACTGAGTTCAAAGTTCTTCAGATCTGTAGATGGTATCTGTCTTGCCATCTAGTGCTTTGTTTTGAGTCAAAGCTTACCTGCACTGTTTAATCCTTACTGGTATTCATAGTAAAATATTTGTAGTTTGCTAACAGCTTGTATACACTTTAGAATACTCCAGTGCATGGCTGCACAATTGCAGAATTTCCTTGTATTTAGTACCTTTCTTCTGTTGGCATAAGTAATGCATCTTCCTAAGAGATGGTAGCTAGTTTGATGGAAGAATCTGGGGGTTAAGCTGGCTTGGGTGCTTTCCCCCTGGTTCTACTGACCCCTTTGCCCAAAGACCCATCCCCTTCTTCCTGTCCCTATCTCACCTCTTCCTGCCCCTGTTCCACCTTGCTCTGCTCCCCTTCCCTAAACAGGCCCCACCCTCCCTCAACCCCTTGTTCCCAGTACTTGCTGCATGCTGCTGATCACAGCAGGTGGGTGGCACTGGTAGGGAGGGGAAGAGATGATCATGGGGGCTGCTGGTGAGTGCTGAGCACCCACTGTTTTTTTCCTGTGGGTGCTCCAGCCATGGAGCATCCACAGAGTCAATGCCTATGGGCTTAATTGTGCTCTTGAGGGGTGTATATTTTTCACACCTCTGAGCAACATACTTAAGCCAACTTCATTTTCTAGTTTAGATAATGTTTGGTGTATCTTCCTCCTGGAGAGGCTGGGTTGTAGGTTCCCAGTATATCAGCATAGGTACGCCTCTCAGGGATATAAAAAAATACACATCACTGAGAGACATAGATATGACTTTGCTCCAGCAATAGACAGTGCTAGGTCAACAGAAGAAATGTTACATCAGTCTCGCTCAGGGGTGGGGAACCTTTTCTGTGTCATGGGCCATTGACTCACAGAAAAAAATAGTGGGGGGCTGCACCCGTTCAACTCTACTAACCCACCCGGGGGGTGGGGTGCTGAGGCTCAAGGTTTTCCCCTGCAACAAGGAGAACCAGGAATTGTAGGGGCTTCTCCCCTGCAGGGGGCGCCAAGACTCAGTACTTCCCCCACATGACAAGGGTGAGCCAGCACTTGCAGTTTTGGCAGCATGTAGAAGGGGATGGGGCTTCCTGTCTGCAGTGGGGTGAGCCAGCACTTGTGACTAGCCCCTTGAAGGGGTCCAGGAGTCAGAGCTTACCACTCTGCCCCAGGAAGAAGCCCCAAGTCTCTGTTCTCCCCCTCCCTTCCTCTGCCTCTCTGGGGTGAGTTGAATGTGTGTGTTGTGATGAGCTGGATGAAATTGAGCAATGTGCCAAATCCAGCCCTCGGGCTGTGGGTTCCCTAACTTGATCTAGTTACCTCTTAAGGAGGTGGATTATATACAATGATGGGAAAATGCCTCCCATCAGCATAGTTAGTGTTTGCATAGAAGTGCTACACTGTTGCAGGTGCCTTAGTGTTTTTACTGTAGACATATCCTGAGTGTACCCTACAGTAATAACATCTGCTAAATATAGTGGAAATAATACCTTTCACATTTTAAGATCTTCAGACTATGCGATAAAGTTTGTGGGGTATCTGATTATCAGGAATGTTGACTACCATCACCAAAGTTAGTAGGAGTTCTGAATGCAAGTCAGGCCCTAATAAAGTATATCATGTAATAAGTAAATACACTTTTTATTTTGCCAATTGGGAAAAACTGAGGAACAGAAAGATGAGGAGGGTAGTCTGTCCTGCGTCATCTAGCAAGTGTGTGAAAGAGAGAGGAATACAACTCAAATTGTCCAACTAATCAATCTTAAGCTGTAAACACTAGATCATGTTTCTCTAAGCATGAAACACAGGCTGAAATGTGGTGCTTGAATCCACATTATTTCTGTTAAGATTTTGACAGTTGTGTTTACTGCCATTGTCCTCAATGTATTTACTATCTTTATGTGGTATGGTCCTGACAGTGGCCTGCTGGCTACTGCTATTAGCAACTAGTCAGTTTCATGTATGTTGAGTCTCCTTGCAGTATTACAGTCAATATTCCAGGTACACAGTAGTGTACATCTCTTTGAAATGAAAATAATTTCTACATGGTCTGGCTACATGGCTGTATATGCTGAGGGGAGAGTGCTTACTCTATTCTGTCTATTAGCAGTTGTGTTAATGAATGTTCCTTTGATATTTTTGGAATCACCCAAACCAGTATGGGATTTTGTCATTGCCTGCCCTATAATGTGGAGGCCTTAATGCTGTGCAGCTCTGATTCAATTCCCTGACACACTGGTAGCCTGCCCACAAGCACAATCTCTCACCAGCATAGTTATTCCTTTCAAGGTGACACCAATAGCTTTCCCATCCTAAGCCTCCCCAAATCTGTCCTCCTGGAATTCTTAAGTGCCAGACCTTCAAATCCTTCCCCTCTGGTACATCATCTGGCAAAGGCATGAAACCAGCCCCTCAAACACTAGCTTATTTTGGTATACATTTCAAACAGTTTACACACTAGAGACATGTTTAGGGTAGAAACAAACAGTTTATTTAATAGAGAAACCACAGATTCAAACATAAAATAGTAAGGGAAAGTAACACATACAGGATATGCTGAACATAAATGTGCAAAGGTGCAACTGTAGGCTTTCAATTTCCATATTAACATAATAGAAATGGTATTTTATTTGTCTATTGCTTTTTAACAGTTTCCCAGTGTATCCTAGATCAGTGGATTTCAAACTTTTTTTCTCATGACCCAGTTGAAGAAAACTGTTGATGTCCATGAGCTAACATAACTTGACTAGAGTGTGGGCTTCAGGGTAGGGCTAAGGATGAGAGCTTTGGGATATAGGAAGGGCCTCTGGCTTTCGTGGGGGTTAAAGGCTGGGGCAGGAGGACCTTACCTTGAGTGGCTCCTGATTAGCAGTGCAATGGGGTGCTAAGGCAGGCTTCCTGCCTTTCCTGGCACCACAGACCATACTGTGCCCCAGAAGCAGCCAGCAGCAGGTTCCCAGCTAATGAGTGTGTGGAGCTAGTGTTCTGGGCAAGGGCAGGGCACAGAGCCCTGTGCGTTCTTCCCTCTACCCCATCCAGGACCTGTGCCTGTTGCTGGCTTCTTCTGGGGAACTGCACAGTTTGTAGTGCCAGGACAGGGAGGTAACCTGCTGTAGCACTCCATAGGTCACCTGATCACCCTGCAGCTATGAGATCCAGTGCCTGACATTTCATGAGCCAGTATTGGATTGTGACCCATAGTTTGAAAATCACTGCCTCCTGATTAAAGGGGAAGTGAGTGCTGCACACAGGGGCTGCTCTGGCATCCCACTCAGAGCATTTCCTGTCTGCAGGGTACCCTGCTCCCGCCCTCTGACCAGAGCAGTCTCTACCTGTGGGGCGTTGGGCTCACCACAGGCAGGAGTGGTACTGGATCAACCTCCCATGGGGCTGGAGCCAGCCCCCTGCCCACGTCAGACAGGGAGGTACTGCAGCCCTACCAGTTAACTTTCATAGGTAAAACCTTCACATCCCTGGTGCTGCCAGCATTGGGTATGTACCATCGGTATTGTTTGTAAGTTTTTGGGGAATGGCGCAGCCTCTGTCCACCGTGAGCGTGGGCCTGCTGCAGGCAAATTTAGCTTAGCAGCAGCAGCCCTTGTCTATGGGGAGTCCAAGCTCCTCGCAGACAGGGGCTGCTGCTGGGGACTTGCCTCTGTCCGCAGGGAGTTTAGCAGCCTTTGTCTTTAGGGGGTCAGTTGTGAAGAAAACTGGGGTGGCAGGAAGCTGGTCTGCATGGGAGCTGTTTTTTAAACTGGCTCCCTTTGCAGACAAGTTCCTGCCTGGCAGCCTGCACTGATAGAGAGGCAGCAGCACATGGTGGCAGGGAGCTTCCCAGGAGTGGGGTTGAAGTGCACTGGCTGCTGGACCCGCCCTTGGGGACTATAAAATAGTAGAGTAACCGACAGGAATGAATGCAGTTACTTGACTAATTCAATTAACCAATACCTAACATCCCTAGAAGGAACTTAAAAAAGAAGTGGGTTGTGCTCAGAAAAGCTCTTGATACCATCTATATTTTTGTTAGTCTCTAAGGTGCTGCAGGTCTATTTGTTGTGTTTTAATTTTTTTCAGTTATAGACTAACATAGTTACACTTTGATCCCTAGAAAGGACTGTCCTTTTTTTGGTTGTGTGTTTGTATAGCTCCTAGCCCAAACATGGAGCAGGGCAATACTGTGCTATCATAGTACAATAGACTTCCAATAATCCGGAACCTATGGGACCTAGGTGGTGCCAGATTATCAGATATGCCGGACTATCAGGAGGCACTATAAGATGGTGATATATATACTGTATACATTATATACTGTATATAGTGTTCTTAACCCTTTTTATTGTACATACTGTATACAGTATACTGTAATGTTTTAGTGTTTTTAAGCCTTTTTTACCCTTTTTGCTCAGTTCAGCTGCTGCCGCTGTTACCTTGTGACTCATTTTTTGCTGAAGCTCAGTCACTAGGCTCTTGCCATTTTGATGCCGGACTATCAGGAGTGCCGGACTATTGAATGCCGGACTATTGGAGTTTTACTGTACAAGTACTTGTGAAGACATGAGAGAGTAATTTTGAAGAAGTCTTCCTTTTAATCGTTGAAAGGAATAGAACATTAGAAAATAAGTTACAGAAAATTCAAAATGGAATCAAGTGCTCATTCTTATGAATTAAATATAAGTACAAACCTGTAATTAATAGGATAACTACAAAACAGAATGGGAACTTACACTTTTTATAAAATTATTAATGTCCATTCCTGGTGTGAGTTGAGTTGAAAATGTTTTCATTTAAGCATCAAACTAAATTATTCTCATTTTGTTTTGCTTTGTTTGCTAAAATCTGTGCTGGTTCATCTTAAATGCATGAAGGAGATGGATTTTCTTGACTGGATTATATTCATGAATAACAGTTACTCCTCCCATGTTTAGATAACCACAGTATTTCTTGTCCCACTGGGTCCCCTTACAAATGGCTATATTTTGAATACAGGCAGTCCCCGGGTTACGTACAAGATAGGGACTGTAGGTTTGTTCTTAAGTTGAATCTGTATATAAGTCGGAACTGGCGTCCAGATTCAGCTGCTGCTGAAACTGACCACCAGTTCTGACTTACATACAGATTCAACTTAAGAACCCCAAGCGTCCCCAAGTCAGCTGCTGCTGAAACTGATCAGCGGCTGATTCCAGGAAGCCTGAGGCAGAGCAACTCTGCCTCCGGCTTCCTGTAGTCAGCCGCTGGGCAGGTTCCGCCGCGGGCGGAGAACGGCGCCCGCG